TTTGGCTGAAAGCTCTTTGTAGTGATGTTCTGTACTCAATGGGTGAGAGTTGGTCTGCATTTTCAAACACTAGATGGTGCCAAGTGTTCACATATAAAGAAAAGCAAAGAAAATACTCAATTTACTGGCAATACTGGTGTAATTTAGTCGTTCTGTAGTTCTGAATTAGTTCAAAATCTATTCTTAGAATGTCTTGTTACCAAGGAAGTGACAGGGAAGAAAAATTCTGAAATTCTGTACAAGAGGATACTAACCCAAGTAACCCAAGTCACAGCTGAATTATTGTTGGGGTCCCCAGAGAGAACAGCAATTCAGACATGAAGTTTTAATACAGGGATATTATCAGCATGGACAGTGTTTTCTTGGATAGAAAATGTTATATTTGCTTAATCAATACTCTTACTGGTCTCACCATACAACCAAACTCTCAGGAACAAGAAACAACTCCAACTTTAAATCAGAAATTCATAATATCCTCTGCATACTGCTTTACAGCAATATTTGGAGAAAAATCTGTGACCATTTTTCAAGCCAGTATCATACTTTCTTGAGGCAGTTTGTATGAAACTGTTATCTGAGAGACTATGATACTGATAGTTTGCAGGAAGACTGTTATTAAGTTAACAGCAAGAAAGGTCAAAAAGAAGAGGAATATTTGATACCTCATTAGCATTTCTATTCTAATACTCTATTGTTTCAAGGTATTGACACTATTCCGTTTTTCCAGTCCAGATTTCCTGTTTGTGTTCAGAGTTTTGGGGAAGAGGAATGTCTGTCTGCCAAGGATATGCAAGTGTGGAATTATCTGAGTCTTGGGGAAAGTGCCCAGTTCATGCTATTATCTGGCAGTACAGGTGCTAGGTCTCAATCCTGAATTCAGGAGTTAAGTTCAGGCTAAGGAGCTAAGGAATAAAGAAATACTGAACCAGATCACCATCCATTTACCAGCTTATAGCCATTAATTTTTTTAATATATTATCCATATCTCAATTTTTCAACTTAAAAAAACAAATCTTAGTATTTCCATTATTCATAGCGAAGTCACAAGGTCTAATCCATGAAACCCCAAAGTATGATGAGGTCCTCAGCTAGAAGATAGCTGGAAGAACAGTAAGATTTATTTGAAAGTACAGAAAATTATCTGAACAACTAATAGGAGGGAAATATACCCTGTTTCACTCTATTAGGATGAATGGCATTTTGCCTAGAATATGAGTAATGAAAAACATTATATTCTGAGTGTAAGACATGGCTAGACAAGAAGGAAGGGGGAATAGTAATCTGGAGGATAAATTTCAGGAAGAAATAACTAAGAATACACTGAGGTGTATATTAATGCATTAATAACTACTGTAAGATTAAAAATTCAGCTGCATCTTATAATTTTGAAAGTCATTCAAGTTAAAAGACTCCAGAATTCTGCTGAGAGAATTAATCACATCTCAAAGCTTGTTAATACAGCATGTGGGAGCATAGGACAATGCATTCTCAGTCTGGGACACCTGCTTCTGGAAAAAATTTTCAATACAGGTTTGATAAATCACAGTCAAAACTTTCCTGAGTCATTGCAAAACTTTCATTAACAGTTTTAAACCCAAATAAACATTTGCAATACTAACTGAAACTCACAGCTCTCCCACAGAACAATAGACACAGCCTGGTCCAATGCAAAGCTTTGAAGAAAGTGAAATGTGAGAAAAGCCAGGGACTCAAAATTGAAACATTATTGCTTCTATAAAGAATCCCCCAGAATTACTGATGGCACATTCATCTTCTCTGGTCACATGTAGACATTTTATTGGTATTTAGATAAGTGCTCTGGCAGAATGACAGTAGCAATGCTGGCTCCTATAACCACACACAGAAGTCTCAGATTATGGTGGCAGCAGTTTCTGTTTTCTCCTTTTTTTTGTGGACTGGGATCACTCATCCTTCTCTGGTACCACAGGGTATTGCTGTTATTGTCAACAGTGACTGTTAAAAAGGAAGGACACCAGAAACACAAAAGCATGTCAGGACTGAGATGGGAAAAGCTGTGTGGCAGTAGGAAAAAGCAGACAAACTTCCAATGGACAATGACTACATTTTAGCTGAACTGCTTGCCAAATGCAGTCCTATGCAGTGTGATTAACAAAATCCAGTCTTAATAAATGTCATTTATTTAGAGTTTTTGCAGGCCCTGATTTGACACATCTATTACTGACATCACACAAGTCCTGCTTTGAGGAATTTTTGATTGAATGTGCTGATACAAACTGCATCCAGAGGACTTTTGGAAAAATATTTAGAAAGCTATTTCCAGAGGACTTTTGGAAAAATATTGCTTGCAGCAATAAGCTGGACAAAATATGTATCTAGTATGTTTTACACATCATATAGCTAAAAAATACATCAGATAATTTGATTTGCTGCTATCATTCAATCTACTCACTTATGCTATCAGCATAAAAGCAACTCACACAACACTTACTTAGATGCACTCTGCCCAGTTTTTTTGTATTACTGCTCATGGGGCCTCTGAATTTTGGCTTGGCAGTGTATGAAGCTTATTACCTAGAATCTCTTTTTAAGACTGTCAGTTTTATTTCATTATATTCAGATTTTAAATTTATGGCTTTGATTTTTCTGTCTTGATTCAATGCCCAGTGAAATCAGTACAAAGTTCTTATTGACACAAAAGGAAGTTGGCTGAGGCACTTTCGTCTGGCTGGTTTGATTTGACATTAAAGTTCTTCTTTAAATATGTTCCCCATATTTAAAATGGGTTTGGAACTGTCACAACATACTGAACTGTTTTCTGAATGCAGAGAAATTACTAAAGAGCACAGTTTGTGAGAGCCTGCCCCTCTTACTGAAATCAGCAGGAGCTGTTTCATTTACTGCAGGGGAAGCTGAGCTAGAGCTGAAGATCAGAATGACATTTATTCCAGGATTTGTTCCAGAAAGTGAAAACCTAATATAAAAACCAGATGGTTTTGCCCTTTCTGGGTCTTTATTGAGTTGGAGAGAAGGTAGGATCCCAGTGCTGGCCACAATTGAATGAATTAAATTAAATTAAATCCCTAGACTTAAATTTCCAGTGTTTTGTGAAACTCCGCTTTCATCTTTAAAAAATAAAGAACAAAAGGAAAAAAGTCAGCTAACTGCATTTGAAGCTACAGAGAAAGGTGGAAAACCATAAGTCCTAAGAGCTCAGAAATAAGAAAGCCAAGTCTTTCCTCACAGAATGATATGTGGTAAAATGCTATGATTTTTAAATCAGCTTCATAGTTTGGAGGACTGATTCACTTTGAAAGGCTTAGTGTCATTAATGCCTCTGTCTCACTATGCTGGATAATTACTCTCTTGACCACGACATTTTTCTCAACAGAATCAATGCTCCAATAATACCAGAGGCTGTCCAAAAAGTCAAATTTCAAAAGGTAAAAGTCATGCAAGCATGTCATCAAAATTAGTTTTATCATTAACTCATATGCAAATGTATTAAATATGTTGTTAAAGCTACAACATTATAGTCTGCCTTGTTCATTGTATAAAATCAAAGTGGAAGAGAGATTAGAAGTCTTTCTTCAAAACGATGTGAGAATGCACCAGATCACATTTTTTTTCTGGAGGGAAGCCTGTGTCATATACAGGATACCATATGTCTTTGGCAAACAGATGCTGTTTGGAATTCCAAGATTACTGATACAAGGATGATTACTGACAACCCTAATTCTAGATGTGATCTGCTGGACTCAGATTTCTTCTAAAGCTATTGAGAGCAACTATATCAGATACTTCTCATGAAATACCTGAGTGCTTCACCAGCTCTGCACACCTCGTTGTGCTGCCCTGCTGCTCATAAGCAAAATGCTGGTTGTTTTCTCAGCTGTGAGCATCTTCAGGACCTTCTCCCCCCATTGCCTCCTGCAGTACATGAAATATGCCCTACAAACCTGAGCTATAAGATTTTATGATGCACCTACTAAGGCTAGGAAAATCAAACATTCCTAATACAAAGGATGAAGCCAGTGGCTGGCTGCTTTCCTCTTCTCTTGAAGCACCATATTACTACTTCTCGAGAAATAATTTTTACTTAATGAGGTATCCTCTTGCCAAAATGGCCTATTAAACCTCAGGGGTCTGCCATATCAGATGTATAAAGAATATTTTAATGGGAAAAAAAATATTTTTTAAAAGGCCCTGCTTCTAAAATCCAGAGGGGTTTCATAATTTTATTAATCCCAAAGCTTTTATTTTCTTTTCTCCATTTTTAATAACATGGATGATAAATAATCTAAACTTCAACTCCACAGATTACATTTGTAAAATTTAAAATCTTAATTTTTCTTTGGAAACCCATTGCACACATTACTTCTATCATTGCCTTTGCTGGGTAGTTTAATTCTGGATATTCACATTCCAGTTGGTTAGAAAGTTCTCCTATTATTTCTTTTGCTGAAAGTATGTCAAGGATAAGCCTTTTAGTAGGGACCTTTATGAGTCAGTATTTAAAGACCAATTGAAAAAACCATCTCCATGAAAAGAGAAAAATCAGCAAATACTTACAAACACATTGGCCATGAGAGAAATGAAAATAAAAACAAACAACATAACAAATTTTGTTTATTATCTGAGAATATGTTCCAGAGCCACTTGTTGCTGCAGCTCTCTCCACAGAGAGCAGCAGGCACAACTTGCCCAGGCATTGTCCTGGGGATGGCTGTGAGAAGATCAGAGAAAAGAATGAGAAACAATTCTTGTCTTCACTTGCTGCACCTGTTGTTGTGAACATGTGGAATGTGTTATGGAGATTTGTTTACCAAAGGCTGATTTCTTAATTGGCCACTGGTGATGGTGTTTTGGATTCAATTGACTAATCTGGTCTCACTGTATTGGACTGTCTTTAAGGGGATGGGTTTCTTTATAGTATAGTATAGTACTGAACAATTGATCTATAGTATAGTATAGTACTGAACAATTGATCAGCCTTCTGGAATCATGGAGTCAATACTAATTATTGCCATGCTGGGGATGCCCTGCTGTGATAGCCACTTTTTAAATTGCTTCCCTTTCAATTGCCTTTAACTATTTGATACCAAAACCAAAGGCCAGATCTTGAAAGTGTTCACATGGAGGTGTTATCCCTGCTCACATGGAATTTTCCTGGGCTAAGATGGTTGAAGTGATGGTGGTCCCGAGGTGTTCACCAAACCAGGTCATACAGGAGGTCAGAAGGAGCTCACAGACAGTGATCTTAAGACCAAGGAGACATCTGGGAGCAGCTTAAAAGAAATGAACACTTAGAGTGTAATGAGAAGAGAGATTTGCAGAGTTCATCCTTCTTATTCAGTCTGGCTGTACTTTTCCTTTCTTTTGCTAAGGCCTTCTGGGATTCACCTCTATTTTTGCCCTGGCAAGCTGCTCACTTCTTTGGCCAGTTTAAGGCTATGATAATACTGTATCTTCATTAATAATCAGTAAAAGCATATTTTTAAGGAGTACTGCAGCGCTGACTTAAGGACTTCAATGAAAAAATTGAAGACCATGCAGGGAAGAAATGTGCACAAAATAAAGGTACTTTATGGAGAGTAGGAAAAATGCTTTACTCAAAAAAATCTCCTTCAATAAATTGCATCTTTTGCTCACTTTCTCTAATACAGGAAAATTTTCTTTTTTTTATCACTGCTTTCTGGGTTGAACCCTTTTATTTGTGAAAGGAAAGATACAGGAACTTAAGATTCCACCTGAAAGCATGGGCTTTCTCTAAGAATCTTGTTACCAGCAGCCTCCAGCTCTAGGCACATCAATGCTCACTTGGTCAAAGATGTACTTGCTACTCAAATTCTTTGAATAATATTTCACTAGGATAATGCTGGGGCTTGGAACCCCTATCTCTGAGTACAGGTGTTTAGATATGCAATACTATCTCTTTATTAATTTCAGATATGTAGGATGTTGTTCAAAAAGCACTTTGTAAAACCAGACTGTCAAGCTATAATGAGCTTTTCTTCCTCAAGTCCTGTAAAACGCCTTAAATACAAAGATATTAGCAAAGCAGTGTTTTCAAAACCTGCACTGAGGATTGATACTAAACTAAAGCCTTTTTCCAGAGGCTATATGAGAGTAGGCACAGACTGTCAGACCCATAAAAATGAGGTTGCAGGTTCTTCTGTAGAAGTAAAATGCTTTTCTTCTTGCAATTCCATGCAAAATCTGCTTGCTTTGTGTAAGTTAAGGCACATTCATGTTTGGATATTACTTGTATGTAGCTTGATTATCTTCACCTTATCATGCTCCTGTTGAGGTCTCAGGCTGATGCCAGTGGCTCAAATGACAGTAAAGCACAGCCACTGTAGCAAGAGAGAGAGGAAAACAAGGTTATATTTAATAAAAAGACCTGTAGCAAGCATGCATAGCTGCATTTCTAGCATATAGTCAGCCTGTTGTTACAGAAGTAATTTTAGGATCTTTCTGGAGCGATTTAAATTTATATCTCATTTAAATCAGAGTTTTGGGATTCTTAGGTTCAGAAGTAAGTTATGTTCAGGTAACAAGGAAATCAAAGACACATAGGAGGGTACTTTTCTCCAAACTTAGTCCTTTCTGTGGGGAACAAATGGGGCAGAAAGAAGCAGACATGAGCAAGACCATCAGGCTTGCCTACACAACTGCACCTACATTTTGCTCTCTTGATAGGAAAAGCAGGAAAGAAGCCAAAATTACTGCTTTTACCAAAGGTGGCTTCTGGTGCACGTAACTGTGAGAGAATATGTTGTGATGTAGTTACATTTTTCAAAGGTAACCTTTCTAAGGCTACTTATAAATACAAGGTAGATAAATCCAGCACAAATGTTGAGTACTTAAAACCAGCCATCCTCAGTCAGAATGGAGCAGGACAGAACCTACATTCCCCTCCCCACCATTTTTCCCCCAAAAATAAATGTTTTAGAGCTAAATGAACTTACATTAACCAGGTTCAATTCTATTGTCCCACTTTTTTCTGTATCAAGTTTTCTAAAAATTTCTGTGGTTGGAGAGAGATGACAGACAATGGTAAATACAGGAACTAATTTGAAAGTCTTCCTTTTCCTTGTGCTTCAGGATCAATAAGGAATTTAGTCCCAGCATCTAAAACTTGACAATGGCCTACAGCCCAAATCAGAAAGGGCCACTCCAAAGTCATTGTGCAGGAGCAAGACTGAACATTTTTAATTGTTGCCTAGTATTTTTTAATCAACATTGAGTTGTTTGCAGGGAAGACTGGCTGTGCTTCAGCAGCCTGACCTAAAAGACTGATTCCTGCATCTAGGAGAAGCCAGACTAATATCTCAGGTTTGAATTTGTCTGAGTACCTTACCCTGGGCTTCTGGACAGGATGTCTGCCTGGACAGTTATCCTGCTGGAATCACAAGGCAGCAGAGCCTGTCTGGTTCCTGTGTGTACTCACTGAACAAGGGTTTGAGCCAAATCAAACAGTGCACCGAGTCGTCAATGACAAGATCCTCATCAGCAAAACGAGCCACGATGACCTGATGAAACTGGAAGTTCAGTTTGAACACTGAAAATACAATGCCAAGGATTTAAAAGACTCTATTTCCAAAGAGTAAACATGGGTACAAAATTAAATGCCTGATCTTTTGTGGTGGCAGGAGGGGAAGGCTCCAGAGTGCCCAAAATTCAGCAAGTTAGCAGAGACTGCATGGCTCTGAGCATCTCTCAATGCTGCTTGAAACTGATGGAATCTTATGAAGAGACAGATCAATATAAATACCTGCTGTTTTCAGTGACCTCCTCATCTCATATGAGTTCATGGTACCAAATTGATCCACATCAATTTCTCTGTAAATTTTCTGCAAAACACAAAACCCAAAGTGAAACCTTGACAATAACGCAGAGCGGGATTTGGCTCCTGGCAGAAGAGAAACGTTTTGAAATGTAGCCTTGCATGTTACTTAAAGAACTTTGCAACATTGATCTGAAGGACATCCACATTATTGGAAAAAAAAAAAAAAAACACAAAACAAAACAAAAGAAAAGGAAAGAAGACTTGGCTTGAGGGGAAGGTGGGTGTTGAGCCCATATCACCCAAGGCCAAGTGCTGGCTGAGCTCCATCCCTGAGGCAGGTGAGGCTCACCTGGGGCAGCATGGCCACAGCCACAGCCAGGCTGGTTGTGGCTTCCTGCTGAATCTCCTCCCTGCAGCCCACCATGATTTTTATTGTAGGCTCAATTTCTCTACTATTTCTCCCCATTTGCTCTTTCTCACTCCTGCCCCTCTGACCTCTCCATCATCAGGAGAGGAAACAGGGGCTAAGCAAGTATGATACAGCTTTTTGCTTCTTTGCAGCTTCCTTGCTGCAGCTGCTGTCCAGCTCAACCCATCTGAGCTTTGAAGGAAAACCCAGCATGGGAACTGCACTATCCCATTTATAGGGGGAATGATTTTCCCTTTTCCCCCCACATTCCTGTCAGCCTTCCTTACCTCACAGATCACAAAGCCAATGGTGTGCATGTCCTCCCCCATCTTCTTCTGCTTCTGACAATGCTTCTGGATCAGCCCAATGAGGAAAGTGCAGCCTTCCTCAGGATCATCAGGGTCCTCATCTTCCTCCTCCAACTTGATTAAATACTGTCCAGAATGCATCTGGAAAGTGGATTTAAGCAAACTACTCAGAGGCTTCTTTCATGATGATATTTAAACCTGTCAGATACGACAGATGTGGCTCTGACTGCCAAAATCAGCTGTTAGAAGAGAAAACCAATGCCCTGCCCTGCCCTCCCCAGCCTTTACAACCACAAAGGACCCTCATCAGGGAGTCAAATTTTCCAGACACCCACACTTTTTGGAGATTAGTCCTACATATCCCATAAGCCATCCCAAAACATCTCCTGGAAACTCCAGAGAAAGTGCAAGTGGACAGGCAAAAGGTTTCCCCAGTTTTTCTAGCTTGGGTAGTTCCTGCAGCCCCCTGCAGTGGCTCCTCACCTCCAGTTCCCATCCAGCTTCTGCAGGCTCCACTTTTTGTACCTGTCACTTCCAGGGTGTCTGGATCAGGTTGCAGATCTCCAGGGGGAATAATGCCTCAGGAAGTCATTGAACATCATCCTGTGGGAGGCAGGGCCACTGGCAAAGTCTCCTCAGAAAGGTTTTCAATACCACCACCTTGTCTATCCTCCCTCCCTGTCATTATGATTTAGCAATAGGATTTGGGGTGAATTTGCACACTCATCTTGGAGAGCAAACTGGGAATTTCATATTATTTTGCATGAGTAAAAGCAGAGCAGCTGACATTCCCTTCTGCTGGAATGGGAACCCAGTGACACTCCCCAAAATTCCCCATCTTCATGTCTCCTGGCCAGTTGCTCCTGTACCTCAGGGTCAAAACCACTCCAGTTTGGGCAGCTGGGAGAGAACCCCACATCAACTACAGCTCATGGGAAAGGTGAAACCCTAATGTAGCTGTTCTGGCATAAGATCTAACTGTTAGCAGTTCCAGAATTCTCAAACTACTGCAAAATAAGAAAAATAGACAAACTTGGCAAATAAAATACCTCACTTCTCAAATATCCAAGGTAAGGATGAGAAAGAGAGTGTTATTTTTAGAAAATGCAATGTCTGGACTGAGGCAGAAAAGGGAAGAGTGAGAATAAAAACTGCCCAGCCACAGAAGTGAGTAAACTCCAGCTTTCATGGCTAACAGCAGAAATGGATTTTTAAAATCCTTTTAGAAAGTGAGTTTTCAGAAGCTCACCACTGAATCCAGGCCATTAAATAAGCAGAAACTACAGGGAGCTTTCTAGGATTCACCAACCAAATCACTGCATCTTACACAAAAGCTGGAATTTGCATGAAAGGCATTACATACTGTGATGGCTACCAGGGAGATGACAGTGAGGGAATGCTTCTCTCTGAAACAGTTCCATGTGAACACCACATCCAGACAAGGCTTACAGAGGAATTTCAGGTAGGGAACAGAGAAAGACAGAAAAGCCAGAAACACGAGTGCACCCCTGCAGTAAAGGGCTACTGGCAACAGGGAAGCCATTGACTCACTTGTCATTCTATTTCCCACTCCACTTGTCTCCAGGGATTTTGGATTCTGATCATCTTCTGCACTGTTCCTTGGAAGTTCACCTGATGGGATCAGAAGTGTATGGAGAGTTACCAAGGATTCAGCACCACACTCCCTCCCTCATCCTCTACAGCAATTAAAAGCCTGACAGAGCAAGTATCTCAGTGCTGGGCATGACAACATGCACACATCTGGTCCAAAACACAAAAGTCCAACTGATTCTGAGTGAGCTTCATGCAGCCAGGTTTGTCCAAAGAAGTTTTACAGCATGCACAAACCAAAGCCAGTGAAAACCAAAATGTCTGATTTGTGCTGCTAAAAAATCACCTTTGATAGGATTACAAGGAAAGGGAATGTAAAACTGCTATACAAAAGCCCAAAAGCAGGTACAGAGATATTTCTCAAAGTCATCACTTAGGTATAAATTATCTTTTCACATTCAAATGCCTTTTTACCCCCCTGCTTATATATAAGAGGAGCCTGTTACAACAGCCAGCACACTCAGATTGGCCACAACCCCTCTGACCTCACCAATGCCCCACAGAGAGCAGCCTCAGCCCCTCCTCTTGTCATCTGCTGGTCTCTGCAGTCCAGAGATGACACCCCAGCTGAACCATCCTTATTGAGTCTGCACAGATCTCCAAAGGAACAGCTTGGCTAAATCATGCCTACTTGTGAATTAAGGTGAACAAACTCCCTCTTCCCTGTTTTTGCTGTGAGAAGACCAAATGCACACCCACAAACCAGCACAGCATGCCAGCAGCTCTCTACACCTCACCCCGAACTTTCAAAAATTATTCCAGAAACCATTACCAGCAAACTAACCAAAAATCCACTGCACACATGGAAGGATGATCTGCTTCCTTTGTTTTGTCTTGCCTTTACCAGTCACCCACTCTTGGGCAGGCCCCTTGTGTTTGAACACCAAGCCCAGCTGAAAGGTGATGTTCACCAGGCACTTCAGGGACAATAATACATGGGGGTTTTTTGGGCTTTTTTTTTGCTCAGAACACTTCTTGCAGTTCTTGTAAGGTAGAAAGTGTGGCCTGCTGTACAGAAGTGCACTTGAAGGGCCTGATCACCAGCAGAAGGTAGCACTGGTTTTGCAGATCTGATACTGCAAAACCAAATACTCTCCTTCAAAAGTTTCTCCTAAGGAAAAAAAAAAACAAAAACAACAGACCAAAACAACAACAACAAAAACTCACAAGGTGGGAATAAAGGATAATCCAAACCCTTCTGCACAGAGCTGCCCACCACCCTGCTCCATGGGAAACAGCCATGCTTATCGAATAAGAGGGGTTTTTTTGGTCAAACACCCAAGAAGGCAAATCTGTATTTATCTAAAACATAACAACTAATTAAGCACTCCTTCAGAAAGAAGAGACTCAAAACCCAATTCAGCAAAATGGGTGACACTTAAGAATTTGCAGTGTTGAAGATGGGCACACACAAAACCTGCTGCACCTTGGGGTGGCACACCTACCTCCTCTGCCCTGGTGGCCGAGGCTGTGTGTCCCTCCACCAGCTTCTGGGGAGTCACTGCTTCTCTTTCTCAGAACTGGTGACCTGGAGAGGCAGAAGACATCAGTGACTGCAGCTTGCCATGGGCAGGGGATCCAACAGAACCAAGCTTCCTGCTCCAACAGAGCTTCCATCTCACTGGGAGGCTGCAGGAGTGGCTTGGCTGCTGCACAAAAGTAGCAAGTGTGGCAAGAGCAGGAGAGGGGACAGCAGCACATGTGGTGGTGCTGGGACCCCAGGGAATTTGCCATGTTTGTGGCATGAGGTGCATGCTGGAAACCTGGCATTGCAGTTCCCTCCTGGCTCCAAAACACTCGGAGTGGTGCAGCCACTCTCATGCATCTCCAAAGGGGATGCACATGAGAAACTCCATACTCTCAAAGGACCAGGAGAAAAACAGGGAGTGGCTGGCCTGAGGCTCCACTGGGATCACATCCAGTTCCACCAAATTTCAGTGTCAAAACACCCCCTGCAGCTCCAAAGCAGGGTGGGAGGTTTCCCTCCCTTTCCCCAGCCCTGCCCCCCAGGATCTGCCCTGCAGAGCAGCAAGGGAAGAGGCTGAACTTTAAAGGCCATTCATACCTGAAGGCACATCCCCCTCAATTTTCATACCTGAAGGCACATCCCCCTCAATTTTTCACAGCCACTGCTTGGGCAGTCTGGCCTTTAAACACTGCAGAGAAAAGTCACCTCTTGCCAGACAGTGAATGTTTAACCACCTATGAAACATGTGGCTGTCATTGCCTTTCCACCATTTCAGAAGTGTGTGACTTCTAAACAAGCATATTTGAAGCTTAAACAAACAGAGAGGACTGGAAGAAGCAGGCAGGATTCCTGCTGTCAATTCATGGCCTATTACTGCCCCACAGCACACTCTCCATTTAATGCTTAATCTCTGTGTCCCTATTTCTCTTACAGAACAGAAGAAAAGATTTTACAAGTTGTTTTTTATCCAAAGGATAAACTCAACAATAGTTAATTTACACTACAGAAAGTGCCAGCACTTATCAACAACATAATATATTTATTCTCCCCCTGACCCAACCAAGGGATTTGTATAAGTCTGGGGCAAAAATCCAAATGTCAGATTCTTATCTAAATGTCAATAAGTAAAACAGACCTTGGAAATATCATGAAGTCAAATTTATATTAACCAAGCACTTTTCCTGCTGTGAAGGTTCCTGCTCCTGGGACTTGATTTAACTTGAAAAATGGGAGGAAACATTTACATTTATATTATGAATGGAGTTTTTGTTCCCTTTAGACATAACTAAGATGCAATCTCATTTGGGAGGAGGATGATTACCACAATAACAATACTTAGACTCATTTCAGTAAGGCTAAAAGCAATGCTGAGTGCTTGAAGGCAAGACCATTCTCCTTTTTCTTTCCCATATGGGTCCAGCTTCTGACAATGTGTCTTTCCATAAAGCCTTTTAAAGGCATGGCAACAGTCTGAAACTCTCTGCTTCAAGAACAGAGCCCAGATTTTTTGGGAACATTTTTAGGTACACCTTGTGCAACAAAGGTGCAACAAAAAGGCTGCAGTGAGGATGGACATTGTCACCTCTGAGCACCAGCCTGGAGGAGCCAGTGCCAAACCCTCTCAGCCTGTGCCATCCTGCTGCCAAGACAAGGCTTTCTTAGGGACACAGATGTCCATCACGACCCCTAACAAGCTCCCTGTGTAATTCATTACCATCAACCTTCTAAACAGAAGAAAGTCTCATGGAAGAAGCACAAGGGATGGAATGAGCTTTTTACTTGAGCTAATGAAGTTTAGTTTCAGCCTAACCCCCATGGAGAGCACATGCCTGGGTGAAATCTGAAATGTAAACTTTAAGGAATTTAGAGATTTTAGAGGAGCTAAGATTTTAGTTAGAAATAAGCCTTACTAGAGTTAATTAAAATAATAATAATAAATGAGTAGGCCTTGATGAAGTTAAGAGTTAGTAGTTAACTAATAATTGATTGCTTACCAGCACAATGTTTAGCTAGCTGGGTTTATAATGAAGAATATACAAACTGACAAATAGCTTTTAGGAACATAAGACAATTGTGGACCTCCTCTGTTCTGAAACCTGGGTACATGGACTGATGTGCTTTGCACACTGAAGAACTGGCACTTGCCAAGCCCTCAGAGGTGCACAGAGCACACGAAATGGAGCTTCCCAGGCCCTGGTGATAGAAGGCCACCTTTTTTAGATGTCTCCTTTTTATTGTCTGGCTCTTTGACATCCCACAAAGCCATGCCAGGAAACATCACACATGGATACATAGACAGCCACACTGGCTCCTGCCCAATAGCACTAAGGGGAAAAGGCTGTTTTCCACATACCTGGAAGTGGAAAATTCCTCCATATTTCTCCTGGAAGCTCTGGTCTTTGGGAACAACACAGGCCAGAATTTCTTCATTCAGGGTGAGAAAAGCAATGGCTGCCAAGAGCCAGCAGTGCCCTGTAAAAAGAAAAAGGAAACAAAAAACCAAGACAGCATTCATTACTCAAACTTAGTTTTTTTGTACTGCATCAGGATTGTGAATTATAACCAATAATTCCCTCAGCTGGGATAGGACAATCCCTCCCATAACTTTATCTCTGGGACAGATCAAATAACCTCCAAATCCAGACAAGTGTTTCCTCAAGACCAAAGTTATAAAACAAAAAGTCAAAGCGAGCCTTTTCTGACCTACCACCACAGTGATCACCCATTCTGGCACTGTTTGAAGGAAAACTTAATATTCAATTGAGTGTCTTTATGATAAGAAGAAGCACAGAGGAAAGGGCAAAGAGCCTGTGGGCACACACAGGTACTTAAGGGTGCAATTTTTCCTCAGAGGTGTTTTCTTAGGTGTAGGCTGCATTCTTTTCCCTTCTCCATGTTTAATAAACATGTTCCTTGCTCTCCAGAGGCCTGTCCTGTGGGCAAGCTCCCTTTAAGGTCTCTTGCCAGCCTCCCTGCCAACAGGAGCTCCTTTCACCTTACACATCTCTGGAGGCTCTTGCTCGAGGCCTCTCTTTAGTGCCATGTCTGGTCTCCAGCACAGCCACCAGAGAGCCAGGAAAGGCCTGAAGGCAGCCACTGTTTCCCAGTCCCAAAAACCTCCTCATCCTGCCTGGGATGGAGCCAACACACACTAGCCCTGGACAGTGTTTTTCCACACCACCTCTTGCCACTCAGAGAGAGGAAGAGGCCTCAGCTCTATAAACATGACCCCTCTACTTTCTGCAATTCTTTTCAGAGCCCAGTTTTATTTACCAGAGCAGTCGCCTTTCTGCTCAGCCATGGGCCTGCTGCAGCCCCTTAGCGAGGGGGTCAGAGATTTCCAGAGCCAGATGTCCCCTGACTGCCACAGCCCAGCACAAACCTCCTTGTTCCCACCCCAGATCCGCTGTTCCCGTGCTTTGTGAACAGAAGGCAGTCAGTATTGTGCATGAGAGCCCACCAAGGAGTCCTGCAGGATTGCAGCTTCAGTGTATGACCAAAGCTGCCAGCAAAGCAGCAGCCCCTACACAGCCACCTCTCTCCCATGGGAAAAGGCACCAAAGCTGATGGGTGAGAAGCTGGGATCCAAATGGGACAAAATCTCAGGGTGAATGGACTCTAAAGCAGCCCTCAAGGTCCACCCTCAGACCCAAACCCATCAGTGCTCAGACAGCACCAGCAGGAGCACGATGGCCTGCAGCTCCTCCAGGCTGCAGCCGACCCCCAGGAGCAGCTCTGAGAAATACATCTGTCCCACACATCTTCTCACACCTCAGGAAAGGTGGAAGAGAGGTGCAGAATCATTTCAAAACCTAAGGTGCTTACACTGCTTCACAACCTGAAGAACTGAACGTAAAATTTCCCCTTCAGCCCTGCCTCTGGCTGCTTGTACTGCAGTGGAAAAATCAGCATGTCAGAGAGGTTTTTAAACAAGAAAGTCACCTTGCTGTTCTCCTGTGACAGACTATAAAGCAAAGATGAAATTCCCCTCCCTGCTCTGGCACAGCACATCCACTTTGCCCTGCAATGTGGTGACTCCTCTCACAGCCTCCTCCAAGGAGCTGAGACCCTTTTCCCTGGGAGCTGCATCCAGAGGCAGCACTACGTACTGCAAAACTGTTTGCTGGGAAAGACAGGGCCAGGAGGAGAGAGTCTGGCTCAGAGGGCAGCTGTCACACCATTCTTCCTAAGAAATATTAGTGTTTCTATTCCATGCCCAGGGCAGAGGCTGGGCAGGAAGGGACAGCACAAAAAGAACAAATGAACCACTCAAATGGCCACAGCAGCTCAGGGAGGCTTGGTCAAGAAGCTGATCAGGCCTCCAGATGATGAACATAGACTTCAGTGCTGTAACACATCTCTGAGTCATGCTTCCGAAGTGAGAAGCATGGAAATTCAAGGAGAAACACCCTCCAGAGGACCTCAAAGCCCACAGACAGAATTTATAAAGAATTTCCTTTACTTTCTACCTCAAAGCCCACAGACAGAATTTATAAATAATTTCCTTTACTTTCTAGCTGTCTCATCAAGGGAGACTAAAAAAAAAAATGAAAAAAAAATTGTAAAATCCCTGTTGAACTTTATATTGTTCTCCAACCAAGAATTTGGAGTCAAACACAAATCTTAACTCTTACAATTCTGGGCAAGGTCTTGAGGTTTGAAGGCAGCTGCAGCATGTATGGAAGACATCCTTTGGTTTCCACACTTAGAAGTGCCCAACAGCCAGGATATAATCTCTACCTTTGTGAACAGCCATCACTAAAAACACACCTGATAATTCAGACTCTGGATGAGAACAGATCTCATGATTATACCTGGAATTTTAACACTAAGCAAGCTTGAGCAGGGTCTTTACCAAATAGCCTGAACATCTAGAACTGGTGTTTCTGCAAGGTTCTTGACAGTGGTTTTCCTTTAATAGGGAAGGAAAGTCCAAAAACAGGCTGACAGACAGGTTGCTTAGGGTCTGAAGAGTGTTAGCACATAGGGCTACATTCATCATAATTTTTGTAAATGAACAGTAGGCAGGACAAGGTTATCAGAAAAGGGAATATTCTCAGGCTGTGAGTTTGTCTATAACACATATTAACAAGAAGTGCTATTTTTTGTCCTGTCATGCTTACTTTTTACTGCTTTCAATGTTTTACTTGTTATTTCCATATAGCCAAAGACTACTGAGCTAAAAGAAACCCTGCTCATTAGCTGAGCTGTTTGGTTACACATTCCCTGCCAAGAAGCTGCCCTGCAGATGTGATGGGTCCATGTGCTCTGGATGCCCCATCTCTCCCTGCAGTACTCCCAGATGTTCTGAGGGGCTCAGCAACAGCAGTGAAACTCCCCATGGGCACAGGTCTGTTGCTTTTTGACCAAGCCTTTTTGGGGGATAAATGAGAGTACAAAAGCTTCTTATAGAAAAGAAACAGCATAATAAAAAGTACAGGTTTCCAAAAGCATCTGACATCTTCCAATGAAATATTCTTGACATGAACATTCAAAGTAAATACAAAGTTTGAGTAAATGTAAGCTTAAGCAAATTTATCAATAAAAATGCTGGTGTCAGATAGAGCAGTGGAAAAAAGAAAAAAAAAACAAAAAGAAAGCATTTGTGCAGTGCATCTGCCAGCCCCATTGTGTGAAAAAGAAGAAATTCCATCTAGGCTCTTAGGAACTCAGTGGCTATACAGAGATAAGATCAAAAGCATCTAATTTTTAATCAACAGTTATCACACAAGACCCAAATTCTGCCCAGATTCATGAGAAGACAGCCTGGAGAGTCATTGCAGTACTTAGTGACAGTGAAAGAGGAGATACAAACAAGAACACTGACAATCTCTGATTCAGATATAGTCAGGAGGTACAAAAATACCAGCTGTGAGTCACTTCATATCCTCTGGTGATACCATACAACCCCATGAGAACATCTGACTGGTCCAAAGACCACTAGGGCAGCCAATGCTTTCATCAATTTAAAAACAGAGTTTGGTATTAGAAACAACAATTTCACAACTTGAAAATAAAGCTTCAAATCTTTCATTCCTATGCTCTTGCTGCCACAGCATCTGCAGAGAAAAGCTGGAAAACCAGAAAGCAACTGACTCCAGAAACCAGCATCTCTACAGAAATGCCAGCTGTTGAAAAGGAATTACAGTAAACTTTAATTTCAATTTGAAGAACTTCTTACCAGAAAGTTTCACAATAAAAAAAGATAATAGATGTCTGGCACAAGTGTTTAAGCACTGGGACGTGCTCCATGCCAAACAGTCATGGTGGGAGACGTGGTATTGGATGGAGAGAGCACAGGAAGGAACAACCCAAGGCACAACAAGCATCTAACCCACACCACCGATGATATTGGGCAGAAGGAGAACTGAGTTCAAAACCCAAGTATTTTTACTGTCATGGACTTTTTATAAAATTGCATCTGGTTGTCAAAGCATTAACCTAAAAAAATGTCTGAATGAAAACATAGGCACAAAATATAAGCTTCTCTGTTACATTTTTGAACATGAACCCACAAATAGCAGCAGTGGCACTAGAAACTAAAGAGATGCAATGTGGTGAATATCTGAAAGCAAACAAACAGAATTTGGTTCCTTTCCCGAGTGCAGCAGCACAGCACAGCTCATATTAGTCACGTTTCCTACACGAGAGCTTTCCCCCAACCACACTATCTGTCTAATCCAAACCCCTCTCACTGCAGCTGTGGAGTAGGAGCCTACTGCTTTCACTGCACTTCATTTCACTTTTTCTCCTCATATCTCTGCAGACATCCTCCACCTAAACCCCTCTGTCAGGAGGCAGGAGAGAGGCTTCCAGACTGGGATAGCTGTGCACTCACAGCCAGGCTAAGCCATTTGCTCTCCACTGTCCCCTGGCACTTCCCTGCAGCTCTCTCTCTTCCCTGCTTTCCTGGAGAGCCCCACCAAGGGGTTGCCATTGAACAAACAGAGCAGAAGCCTTGGCAAAAGCTCACAGGCTGGCCCATCCCTCCTGAAACACCCCAGTTTTGTGTTCCTTGAGAGCTGATGACCAGCAGGGAGTCCCCCATACAACTTCTTTGCCCTCTACATCTCCCCAGGTTTCAGGAGATTCCTTCTGCCCAGCAGAACTCTCTCCCACTAGGGAAACAGAAGTCCTGCTATGCAGTCAACTGCTCTTCCAAGCAGACTGTTAAAGGCAGAAATGAGTCAGGCACATGGATTTGAAAGTGAAAGGAACAGGCCATGATCAGAAAAACCATCAGGAAAGCAGTGTGTGCCACCCCTGCTTGGTGTATTCAGAAAGTCTGTGCTCAGTAACCACCCACACCATCCCCACCTGCAAATGCCAAGGAAAGGTGAGAAAGGTCTGATTTGAAATAAACAGAGGTGGGAGGATGCAAAAGGAAGTATTAGAGTGAGTTACAGCAGTGTATAAACCATGGTGCCCTGGGGCAGCACCTGAATGGAAAACTCAGCTTACCTAGGGCCCCTTGGCAGATGTCCATGCCAGTGGCTCTGCCAGCTGTGAACTGGGAGTTGGGACACAGCTCCTGGGAACAAAACAAGCCTTGCATTACATGAGCTGCAGGTGAGACAGGGAACAAGGCACACTTGCAGCAAATTAACCAACCCATTGACGATGAACACCACAGAGACAGAGCAGGGCAGGAGCGGCTGCGGGCACCAGACACACCAAGCACAGTGAGACCAGGAGCTGGTGAGCAAAGCTCGTGTGCAGCCAGCTCACTTCACGGGACGTGCCAGGAGGTGCACTACATTTCCACACGTGTGCACACGCTGCTCTGCCATCACCTCCCCACCACTGACTACACCAAGGTGTTTCAGAAGGGCCTGGAGGCATCCCGGAGTCCACCTGACCCCATGGCTCCCACAGCTGCTTCGGGAATAAACCGCACGGTGGTCGACTCATGGCTCTGCTGAAGGAAAGAGTTATCAGAAGAGAAGCGCTACCCAAAGCGATTGGTCCACATGGAGAGTTCTGGATGGAGAGGAAAATTACTTTTCTCACTTGTTTGTTTTCCAGGCAGAGCAAGTCACGCTGCCAGCCTGTCCCCGGAGCAAAGGGGAGCCTCCGGTGCCCCGAGCATCCGCAGCTGCACGAAACGGGAATCCGCGATTCTGCAGCGCGGGGAGGGCTCGGCAGCCGCGCCCCGACCCGCCGCCCCGCACGATCCAATCCACCCAAATTTAGGGGGTGAGGGAAGGAGGAAGCCGGGTGATACTATGGAATGATGCTACCGGGGATCCCTCCCTCCCTCCCCCCCCGCCCTACCGTGGGTGTGCGCCAGACGATGCCCTGTGTCTTGTGCGAACGGAGCCCCAGCTCCCGGCAGCCAAGAGAGGTGGGGAAGGAGGAGTCCTGGAAGAGCCGCCCCTCCTGCAGGATCTCCTGGAGCAGCGCCCCGAAGCGCTGCCCCAGGCAGGTGCCGCCACCACCCGCTCCTT